TATAACCAACGTATTTTGTCGCAAGATTTCACATCGAGTTAGTCTCAATGATGGGCGGACATAGACGAACTGACATAGACGTTACTGACACTTAGCAAACGTATTATTCAGGAAAAATCAAGGTGACCAATGAAGAAACTAGAATAAAAAGGACTAATATTACAAGCAAAGTTGTCTCGAGTCGCCCTCCACTCGTAAGCAGACCTTTGACCAAATTATTATACGCTTTCAGTATGTTTTATGAAAAAAAAGTATTGACACCAAGTTCACACATATTTACAAAAGCCGTCTCGCGTGAAGAAAATAAAACGACAAAACAGTACAACGTCGATTCCCCATCAAAAGATTGTCCAAATGATGATGCAGAGCAAGATGACATGTGAGACACGATCAAATCATCGTGTTTAATACACATTTCTCTTCCCATTAACTGGTCCTTTAAAATAGCCTAACAAAATTTGAAGTGATCAAGAAGTTGCTCAAAGTTGGGCTCCGTGGCCTACCTTGGAGTGATAGATAGAGCGCTTGCAAGATAAACTAGTGAATTCCAGCTTCCCGAAATGGATAAGGCAAACTACGTGAACACGAGACCCAGTCATAAAGTGGCACTCACCACAAAGAAGCGTAAACCGCCAAGGATCCTAATGCTGACAGCAAGGTGGCGTTAGATCACATCCTCAAGATGGGACCCACGGTCGAGGGAGAAGTATGGACCTGCCAGTTGCGCCCTTTGGTCAAATGTCCCACCAAAAGCTCTCAACGACTCTGCAAACAAACCCACGCGCAGTTTGCTCTTGTATGTCTTCATACTACGGAGAGAGCCACTATGCTCTCTATTTTTTCTTCTTGTAGAAGGGCCCTACAGGTTCTTTGCCAGCCTCAAAGGAAAAAATAACCACCACAAACCAGATAACTTATTTTTTCCTGATGACACAAACGCTTGCACACAGGCCCGACAGATTTACCTGCCGATCAAGGAAAAACAAGAGCAAATATCTCTAATATTAAGAACATTTTCCATCCATTTTCATTCAAGTTTAACCAAGCTATATTCGGTATGGCTTGGTGCAGTCGACTGTTGTAAAGTGTTAGACAACACTGCACGTATTGATAATGACATGTAGATAAGAGAGTTGGGTATTCTGAAATAATGGCGGCACTATAGGAATAAACCGATGTCGAATGCTCACCGGACATGGGGCATGAACTCAGAAGTGCTAAACGACTAAAAGAAGACAGGACGTCATGGTACTCTGGGGGCACGGAGGGAACTGTGAGCAGCAGAGATGGCATAGGCTGCAATAGCAAAGAGACGGTACCCAGTGGTCAATAATACGGGAATAGCGTCTGCAACGGTATCGAGGAGGACCACGCGTCCCGAAGACACCAGGTGAGAGTTGAAATCAAGTAGAGCGGCCAACGCGTCTGTC